TCAAAATTTTTATTACGCTTCCGCATTTGACTATTTTAATACACATATTTCATTTTAAAATTCCGGGGCCGTTACATTAGACGCATGTATTGCTCACTTACTTGACTACTGTTTGATTTTAGATTTGAGACATGATTACATTATCTATGCACGTTTATTTGTTTATGTGATTATGTTTGATTTGGTAATGAAGACTAAAGAAAAACAAGAAAGTGGTATGATTAAATAAACAAATGAAACGACAGCCTTACTAGATATCCTGGGAGATGGTAGACGGATCAGATATATAGGGAACCCTACCGTGAACGTTGTCTCATACCAGACGGGGGAGACTTGGTAATTTGACGCTCATACCGGACGGGATATTGAGGTTTAATGTCTTGGCGCTTATACTGGATGGGGTATGGGGACGACCCTATAATTGAGATTGTTAAGAAAAAAAGTTCACGTGTAGCAGAGACATCCCTATGAACTCCCATGGATACTAGTAGGCTGGTGAAAAGAGAAACAATTATGATTTGGTCTATTGTTAATGGATATGAATTTACGATATGTTCTACATTACTGATTGTTCATAAAATTATGATATGTATGATATTATTATCTCTATAGGTTATTTTCATAAATTTTACTATGGTAAGTGAACGGTAAATGATTTTATGATTGATAAATGAATTTGTTAAATTTAGTGCTCCATTAGTTGTTTTGATTTTATACCAACCTTTGCTTATGTGCCGGTTATATGGTGTAATATCCTTATTAGGCTAGTGTAGCTCATCATTTATTTAACCATTTCAGATCAAGAGAACCTAATTCCAGAGCTCGATCCGCAAGAAGATTGTGAGTAAATGCTACATATTTTCTATTTTCCATTTGTTTCTTTATTTCTCGTGTTTTTTTCAAAGCATTAATTATGTAATGCTGTTTAATACTTTTAAGTATTGTGTAGGGAATGTAAATTTTAACCTTTTATTTTGCTTATGCACTTAAATTATTATATATTTTTTCTTTTGGATTTTCGGGGTCATTACATCGTATTATTAAATGTTATGTTTTTTATATATTTAAAGTATTTCTTTATAACATATACAAATTAACTTTTATATTTCTAACATTTTCTAAATATGTCTAATGCATTTTTTTTTTATTTTAACAAAACATTTTAAGTAAATTTTTTAATAGTATTAAAAAGTGGTTTAAAAATTTTTGTTATATTTTTTAGAGATGTACAATTTTATTAGATAATAAATGACTCCAACATTAAATTTTGAATATTTTTCTTCTTTACAGGGAATGAAGAAATAATCATCATGATTAAGTCAATATAGTTACGAGAATATCAATCTTTTTAAATAAAAAATAAATATTTTTTTAATTTAAACTAAATAAGGTAAAAATATATTTAATTGTATATATTTTTAAAAGTGATATCAGTGAATTTTTTGTCTTAAAATATTGATGTTATTTTCCTTTATATTTAGAAAAAGAATATTAAATGGAATTTGGAGAAAATAGAAGTAAAGAAAATGAAAGTTCTTTGTTTGTTTATATAAGACATATAAAATTAAGAAAATAAAAAAATATAATAATTGTGAGTAATACTTATTTTTATTAATAAATAATAAGTTGAACAATTAAAAGTTAAAAGTAACAACTTTGACTCTGAAAGTTTTAAACTCTTTTTCTCCCATATGTTTGAATATTAAATTTTAATTTTAAGAAAGTGTTATAAATATTTCTATCTATGTCTATATATTCATTTATTATTGTAATTTAAGTGATGGAGGTTACATTTATCACATTCATTCCTTTGTAACTGATGATGATTTCATGAATCTTGATACAAAAAATATTTTGTTTTTATATGAAATTTGATACCAAAATATACATATAAAGAAGTTATCCTAATATGATACATATGAGATGACTCATAATTATGAGAGAATAAGTTATGCCAAGTATAATTACACATAATAATTTACATTTTTAGTAATATATACTAACTTATAAAATAGAAATTGCTTTGTCCATTATATGTATTTCATAAAGTTTGAAGAAGGTTCCTATTCTTTTCTTAACCTCGTTTAAGGATTCTTTTCTCAACTTCGATCTTTTTCGACAAAAACAAACCTAAAGTTTTTTATCTTTCTTCTTCAAATTTACTTATATAAGAGTTTAACTCATAATATGTAAATGTCCGAAACCTTAAGAAAAAGAATATATATTAAAATAGTAGAAGCAAATAATAGTTATAGTTTACATCATTTACACAGTAAATTAGGATGCCCAATAGAACTATAAAAATATCTTTAAAAGGAGTTAAAATAGCAGAAACAAAGATGAAACTAAAATCCTATGGGGTTAACCTCTATTGACAACTTTAATGGGGTCCGGGAGGTAACTTTTACTCGTAACCCTTCTGTTGTTCAGGATATGAATTTTGGTCTTTTTGATCTGAACTGGTTAAATAGGGGATGAACTACACTACCCAGTAAAAATATCACACTAATCACTGTTACGAAAAATCGAAGATTGGTAAAAATTATAAAACAACTAATGGAACTCTTAATTTTGGTAAATTTATTTAACATAAAACTGTTTATTCCATATTTATTATTACGAGTTTTCAAAATCGATATATAAAGAAAATAACTCAAATAGCATTATGATTTCATTTACAAGTGAGCAAAAATAACAACTTTTATTTTTACCTGCTTACTGATATCTGGGGATCTATAGGGATATCCCTATACGCATGAACCTACTATCCAAATTTGTCAATTAACTGACTGTCCTCATACCCCGTCCGGTAATGGGCATCAAACACCATCATCTCGATACCCCGTTCGGTTTGATGATGAACCATATCTTCCAAACTCTTTTAGTATGAGACTTCTCAGTCCCGTCCGACTGAGATAATATCCACAGTAGGGTTTTCTATGTATCGGGTCTGTCCACCTTTTTTCAGGGTACCCAGTAAACTTTTCATACATAGATTCACATCATTAACCAATTACCAGTTACATACCAATATTTTATATTTACAGATTAACCGTAAGTCATACAAATAGGCATACGTACATCAAGAAATATGATTGAGACATTTATTGCAAAATAATTCAATAAATGAGGGCTATGTAGTTAGGTAAACTAAATAATCGAAAAAATAATTTTAACTAACAATTTAATGCACACAATACAATAGTAAACATTTTAAGCAATACAGGAGAAAATAAACAGTAAACTAGGACAAATATACATTGACCGGTTCTGCCTCAACTAGTGACTTGTAATTATTTTAGGATTTTCTAATTTTCACAAAATACAGTATTATCGATTATTAAGCTTCAATTTAACGTAACAAAGAAAAGGGTGAAAGATTCTTACATCGAATCGGTGTCCAAAATACCGTACTTTCTACTGCGTCTCTTGGCGATCTTGTAGGTTTCCTGAATCTTTCTGCAAAAATTAAAACATCCGTCACATATCCTAGAAATATCCTAAAATGCCAAAATAGGGTTGAAATTTTTTTTCGGCCAATTTTAAAGTTCCAGCACGACGGTGTCGCCGTACTCCGGCGCTGGCTCCACTACCCATGACGGTGCCGAATCTGCTGCCACAATGGTGGTTCGCTTCGACCTAGTCAGTTTCGGCTGGTTTAGATCAATTTTGGTCGGTTTTACATATAAACCTGCGAAAAAATGAGTTAGGAGACCTCGATTGGCCAGAAAAGGCAAAAAATTGAAACTTTACCGGTGGAAGGTCTCTGGGTGCGGCGGATCTGCCGGTCCTCCTTTGCAGCTGAAGTTCTCCTTTAGTTGACCTGCACCAGAAAAGGACGGTGAACACGGTAGTCAAAAAATCACAAAACGAAAAACAGGAAAAGGATTATCGGAGAAGGTTTTCAGTTTTGGCTGTGGCAGCTCGACCAAGCTTTGTCAGCAGTTTTCTGGTTTACCCGTCAACCCTTTTGCTCTAATATGACCGTAGAAAGAGTCAGGATTGAATTCCGAGTGGGAAGAACAAAAATTTACCTTTCTCGGCAGTCGACAGTGGCTCTGGTGCAGCGGTGGCAGCGGCGTCTCTCCAACAACTGGTCTTCCCTCCGGCCTTCTTCTTCTTCTTCTCCGGCTGGGTGTCGGCTAGAGTTTTGGTTCCCTACAAAGAGGAGTTTAAATACTCTTCTCCATCCGATCCAGCTCGCTTGTTCGAGTCGATATGGAGCGAGGAAGACCGTTCGATGATTTTCTATTTAGGTTGATTGCATGGATGAATCTGGACCGTCCATCGGTATCAATCTCGTCCGTCCGATCGCATCTAAATATGGAGTGCATCTGAACCATTCATGCGCGCGTGATGCAATCTAGGCCGTCGGATCGCCCAAGCACGCGGATTGCACGCGTGGCCTCTTGCATGTTCTGGTTCGCCGTTCCACGTTGTCAAACTTTGTCTTTTTATGATTTTACTCCATATTTTTAAATTTTCTTTTAAAAATACTCTCCATATTCGCACTTTTGACTATTTTCAGAATTATTTTCAATTTCGTCCATAATTTATTTATTTTTTTAAACTTTAACAAAAGTAAATTAAAATAAATTTTAATTATTTATATATATTTTTTATAAATTAAAAAAAAAAATTATTTTGAACTAATTTTTCCAATCTAAATATTATATAATAAATTATTTTGTTAATACATTAATTATATTTATAAAATTTTTTATTTTATTAATGTTCGTATAATATCTCGTAAATATTTTATCATTGGATACATTTATTAATTTAAAAAATTAAAATTAAATATTAATTTAAATTTTAAGTTGAATTAAATTTCAATAAACTTGTTATGGTTAAAAATCATGCTTATTATAAAAAGAGTATTAATCACAAAGATACTCTAATTTTCTTTTATTATTAATTTTACTCTCGATATCTTTCAGGAAAAAAAAATTAATAATTTCGTTAAAAAAAAAAAATTAGTTTCTTTTTTTTTCGTGAAAGAAAAAATTATGTTCTCAATTTTGCCCTCTAATGGATTGTTCGGATACGTGATCAAAACTTCATAATTGAAAACCAGAACAACCAGAAACGGGCTACGCTTGAGATTTCCGAGTTTCGGGGAGCCGCTTCTGATGATCAGAGTAAGAAAACGGAGTGCTTTACGTTTCAGTTTTGCTCCGTCTTCAATTGGTTAGTCTGTTTTTATATTGCAACGGGCTTTGCTTGTCAGTTTATACTTATTAGTGAGATGGAAGAGCAGAAGGTACCGTACGTGCTCGGTGATTCGCGGAGCAGGGTGGAACGGCTCAGACATATGTTGCGGAATTGATTCAGGTTCTTTCCGTTACTTTTTGAGCACTTATTTTTCCGGGGCTTGAATTTGGTTCCACTTTACCGAAAATTTGCTTTTTAAATTTTACTTTCGAATGTGTCTTAGTTCAAGGTTGTTGATGATGAAATGCTGATGGATACAACTAAAGGCACAAAGACAAATGGAACTTTGTCTCGTTTAGGATCTAGAACCATATGCAGCAGATGGAATGCATCTGCAAATAAGTAGCTGTAACGATTGGGTATTTTTTATCCCACACATTCTTTCTTAGCGTTTTCAGTGTAAGCTTTGATATGGTTGTGATTTTCTGCAAATAAGTAGCTGTGATAATTGGGTCTTTTGCTAGGAGAAATTATTGGTGCTTTTTATGTTTTTATGATGAACTTTTAATTGTTAGGTTCTTAACACAAAGTGTTTTTCCATTGGTTCATTTGTGAAAATATGACACGGTTGTGACTTATTAGCAGAAATGGATTCTAATTTGTTCTCTTTCTTTGACATGCATATGCTGTGCTGTCCATTTGAGAATATCAGAGAAAACGATTTTTGCATGAATTTATTTATATGTTAGTTAAAGTTCATCAATTTACAGACTAGGTTTGGGGTTTTCAATAGTATTACTTGCTAGTTGAGATGCTTCATCGACAAATATAAATAAAATATTCAGAAGAAAAATTTTGCTTTTGGGATTTATGTTCTCTTTGCATAAAATATTTATCCTGTCAAACATAAAAATTATCTGGAGTTATTGTTTTCAGTTAGGCTGCACTTATGACAGGGAATTATTTTTAACTTGATTCATGGCTTGATGGAGATGAAAGAGAAACCACTGAAGGTGGATAGGTAGTGTTGTAGGGAAGGATTAAATTATTTATAGCTTACTTGATATTAAGAAGAACCAAGTTACCATAGTGATAGATGATGTATTACTTACGGAGGTGGCTTCTAATGGAGAACTTTTTGTGTGACCTCAGAGCACAACACCCTATGAATTTAATTGGACAACCTCAGCACTTTTATCAAATCATATGAGATTCTTCTTAGACAAAACTAAACTAAAAGAACAAGAAAAAAAGAGTGCTCCAGATCACCTATAGTCCAGGACTATACAAAAATTCTCTGTGAATTCAGACCATGTCTCAGACTTACTGCACTCTTGCCACAGTTTAACATCTGAATTTGTAAGATAGTGACTGAACTTTATAAGTACTTTCCTTGCATTTCACGCCTGTTAAAGTTATGCAACCGTTTTTGCGTTCTTACATAGCTCTTGTTTCAGGATTGTTCTTTATTTGTACTTAATCAAAAGGATAAATATTCAAGCATGAGGAGGCTTACATTCATGTTTCAGATGGTTACCTTGCAAACATTCTTATAAAGGCAGACCTCTTGGTGACAGGTTTGGCAAGTAATATTCATGGACAGGTATTCTTTAATCATTTCTGCTTGCAATGAGCATTCAATTTTGACAAACAAAATTTCTAAAAGGAATTAGCATGAATTATTGCTTAATGGTAGTTGGGGAGGCAAGTAACTTCTAAAATTCAATGGTATTTACAAATTAATCTACTTGCTTTCTCTGGCATTCGCCCTGTAACAGTTTTGTCATTTGTGCTAAGGTCAAAATAAGTAAAAAACTCTTATGTTATTTTAAAATATTTAAACAAGTCCTTTCACCTTTCCGTTCATATATACTTTGAACTTTTGAATTATATTTGAATATGCCTCTCAGTTGGCCGAACGTTAACACTTCAAACACCTTCTTATTTAGTAGTATATGGCATCTAATGTGGTCATTCTAAATAGCCATTTTTTGGGCTGAGATGACCATTTATTTGGCATATTCTGTACATGTGACATTGACATGACATACACATAATTATATATTTACATATTTAATAGATAACGTTTTAAATATTAGAGTAAATATCAAATTCAGTCTTTCAACTTTAGCTTATCTTACAATTTAGTTTTAATTTTTTATTACAATTTAGTCTCCGAACTTTTAGTTTTTGTTCGAAAAACAAACACTGTTTAGTCTTTAAATAAAAAAAAAAAATTAACTTGTTACTGCCTGATTGAGATGCCTTAGTTGAATGTTCTTCTCTTCCTTTTGCCTGAAAAACTAGGTCACATCTTTGTTCCCTCCATCTTATCAGATCTGTAATCCCTATCTCCATTTCCTTTTGACATACTGGAATCACCAATGATAAGCCTAATTTCCACAGATATTTACCTGATTGGGTGAATGCACTCTGCTCCTCTGCACTGCAGCAATTATGAGCTGGTTGAAGAAGATGATTTACGATGAAAGAGGATGATTTAAGGATTATTAGGGTTTTTTTAAAATTATTTTTATGATCCATAAATTTTTTAAATTTCAAACAAGCCATAAACTAATTTCATATTTTCCATTCCATTTTAAATAATTTAAGTTGGAAACAAGACAAGAAGTTTGGGGATTAAATTGTGACAGAAAAAATATTTAGAACTAAATTTGAGAACTAACTTGGATATTTTTCCTAAATGTTATATAAATTCTAACATGCACCTCTGTCCATTTGATTCATAAAGCTTTTGTTATCACCCACTAACCCATCGTGTTTTCAAGAAGCCACCATCCTTCCTCTTCCATCCACAGTGAAAGCTCAGTTCTTGACAGCCTCAAGGAGCTTGATAAATACTGAGAGACTAGAACCCAAAGTCTCTAATTATATCAGAAGGAGAGCAAGTGCATTTCTTTCTTCAAAAAATATGTTTGTTTCTTTCTTTCCCTGCAAAATAACAAGGAATGAGATTGAGAAGTTTCTTCCTTTGTTTACAAACTGCTACCCAAAGCCAATCAACTCGATAGGTATATCTTTAGAATTGTTTTTTGGTAAGATAATTTGATTTGTTGTGAGAAGTTAGTTTTTACATTCCTGAATATATATTTAATTTTTTTTCATCTTAATAAGAAAAAAAAAATTTATAAATGCTTAATGATACTAAAACGTGGTATTAAATTACAATATTTACGGATGTACAACTCTTGGTTGATTGAATACTGATTCGAATAATATGTCCCTACTTGAAGGAGCATCAAGCAAGGACTCGTACCCTCGCCCTCCAGCTTGGCGAGCGGGGAAGTAACCGTCATGACTAAGTGAACTTGGTTGTATAGAGATTTATCTTTTTTAATAATAAATGAAATGATTTATATTATATTCTTTGTTAATTTAGAATAGATAAGGGAAAAATATTAAATAAAGGATTTTTTTTTCTTATACTAGATGACACTGGAGTTCTCTGTTTTTGTTTTCATATCGCAGCTGTTTCTTTACTGAGTACATAAAAATCATTAATGCAATGGGAAAAAATAGAAAGAAAGAAATAAAGATATTTTCTGTTTTCTTTGGGTCAGGTGTATGTGAAAATAAGTAATTAGATATTGTCAGTTATAATCTTTATTAATAAAATAGTATATCAGGTAATTAGAAATAAGATAGATTTTTTTTTTTGGGTTAAAATGTTTAACTCTCCTTTTTTTTTTTTATTCTCATTTTTCTTTAACGTGTGAAGAATGGAAACGGTAAGCTTTTAAGAGACTTCTCTATGACCTGCATGTATATATATTATGAGGTGCCAGATGTGCCTACGTACTAATGTGATTGATGTGATATATCTTATATTAATGAGATTTGATCTAATGCTGAGCTAGGATTATGAGTATGTAAAAGTGATGCATTTGAGGGGCTGAGCTAGGACTGTATGTGTGTAAATATGGTGGATCTGATGAGAGGCTGAGTGCAATCATATGTTGATGTGATCAAAGTGATGGACTGATTTCTTACTGAGCTTGAAGCTTTTTTTTTTTTTTTAAATCCTGAAGTGGCATCTGTGGAAGGATTGATCTCCAACCTTTTCTATCTATCTTTAGAAGTAGGGCAAGGGAAAACCTACAAGAGGGGGACACCCGAAATTCACTGAAGGAAGAATATTACTTGATGGGAAAGTGAAATCTCTCCAAGTAAAATAAAAAGAAAGAAGAATAAAATCCTAAGAAGAAATTCTGAGACACCCTTTTCCCGCCTGCTTAGAAAGAAGAATAGATTGGTTCACCTAGCCAGCCTCCCTCAAAAAAAAAAAAAAAAAAAGGGATTAAGGTGATAGAGTGTCATCAGGAGATGCTATTGGAATTGAAAAAAGTTCTTGTTGTTTGATCTTCTGCGATTGGAAGACCACAATCTTTTGCCCTTTGGCATGAATGCCCTCTCACGGCCTTCTTGTTGACGCTTTCTTGCTTTGACTTCTTTGTCTCTAATTGCTCTGGAGTAGGTCCTGCAGAAGGACTCTTTTTCATTCTTACAGCAGGAGACCAACGAGACATCAGCTCTGCGTCACAACTTTCTCAAATTCTTTCGATCACTTCGCTTGCCCTATTTTGTTCGCTTTGCTCTGTGCGCTTCAGCGAAGAATTAGAACTAAAATGAAAGAAATTGGACGAAACGTATACATGCTATTTGTCTTGAAAATTTTAACGGATTAATAAAATTAATAAAACATATTTTGAATTAAATTATTATTGTTGATGTATACCGAATTAGTTATTATTCGTATAATTTCACCGAATGACTTTGGCACGTGCTAAATTATTATTTTTTTTCTCCTCAAATCAAGCAACAAAAATAGGAGAAGGAAAAGAGATCTCTTTTGAGGTATGCTCCCAAAGGAGGAAAAAATTTGAGTGCAGACAAAATAAATTGGGTGTATATCTTTTTCTCCTAGTCAAACGGTGGCATTTTAAGGGAGACACAAAAAAGGAGAGCATTAAATTCACATTTAACACGTGAAATTTACTTGGTCTTCGCATCCTTAAAAAGTGAAAGTTTTCCTTCTCTACCGCATATTAAGAAC